TAAGCCCTTTCCTCCCGCCAGCTGATTTTGGTCAGTAGTTTTTTTTTTTTGTTTGTTTTTGCTTATTTTTGGTTTTTTTTTTTGTTTTTTCTTCAGCAAAGGGGGCCAAACTAGACCATGCACCAAGCATGGGTTCACACAATTCCATAAAACAACTACTAGATATAAATCTACACATCAACTGTAACATAAAAAGAGTAGGTGATTTTAATACTCCACTCTCACCAATTGACAGGACATCCTGACAAAAAATAAACAGAAACATCTTGTCTAAATAATAGCATAAGTCAGATGGGACTAACAGACATCTGTAGAATTCCATCCCAACACTAAAGAATCGATATTCTTCTCAGAAGCTTTTTTCAAAATGGATGATACAATAAGACACAGATCAAATAGCATCAAATACAGGAGTATTAAAATAACTTTTTGTTTTATGTCATCATAATGAAATTAAAACTAGGACACAATGAGAACTCCAGAACATATACAAATCTATGGGGATTAAATAATAAACTTTTGAATTATTAATGGATCATTGAAGAAATAAAGAAAGAAAAAATTCGCCTAGAATTGAACAAAAATGAAAGCACAACATACCAGAACCTATGAGATTCAATAAAAGCAGATCTAAGAAGAAAGTTTACAGCTAAAAGAACCTACATTATTAAAAAAAAATCAGAGAGTTCTCAAATTAATAACTAAACAGTGCATCTTAGAGCCTTGGAAAAGCAAGATCAAGCTAAGACTCACTTCTTTTAGTAGACAGAAAGAAGTACCATCTGTGTAGAAAGTACTGAGATAGAGACAGAGACAGAGATCAATGGAAGGAAGAGTTGGCTCTATGAAAAGATAAAAGATCAACAAAATCTTAGTTAAACTCACCAAAAGAGAGAGAAGATCCTATTTAATAAAGTTAATGGGAATGGAGAGCTGGCTCAGCAGTCAAGAGCAATGATTATTCTTGCAGAGAACTTGGGTTTGATTTCCAGTACCCATATGTGGTTAAAAACTATCTGTAACTCCAGTTCCAAGGGGAGCAAGAGCACCAAGAGGGCACTCCTCTGGCCTCTGGGAGTTTTGCACAAATGTAATACACAAACACACATCTAGGCAAAGCATTCATAAACACAAAAATAAATATATCTAAACAATAAAAGGAAACCCAAGGGAGTGCATTACAACAAATACAGAAGAAATTCTAAAAAATCCTAAGGACACATCTTAAAAACTTTCAGTCAACTAAACTGGAAAATGTGAAATGCGCAGACAAATTTTTAGATGTATGTGACATACTCAAATTAAACCAAGACAAACAAACAAACAAACAAACAAACAAACAAACACATTTCTAACAAGCAATTGGATTAAAGCAGTAATAAAACACCTCCCAGCTAAAAGGAGTCCAGACCCAGATGGATGCAAATTTTAGCAAAACTTTACAGAAGAACTAATACTGATGATTCTCAAACTACTCCATAAAATACAAAGCACAGAAGAATACGGGCTGAACTCTTTGTACAAACCAAGTATTACCTAATACCAAAACCAAATAAAGATGATAACAACAAAAAATAACTTCCCTGATAAATAGAACTGCAAATATTATAAGCAAAATACTTGCAAACTGAATGCCACACATCAAAGAGATCATTTGTTGGTTTCAGAGCTGTAGGGATAGCTCAACATATGCAAATGAAAGAATGCAATATTTCACACAAAAGAACTCAGATAGAAATTACACAATTAAGAGGCTCTTAATGAAATCTAGAAGGACTAGAAGGAATATATCACAACATAATAAAGGCTATGCATGATAACATTATACTAAATGAAGAAAAAACTTGAAATTATTTCTACTAAAACCCAAAAGATGACAAAGATCTTCATTCTCTTATTCAATAGTGGTTGAAATCTTAGCTGGAACAAGAGAAAGAGAGGGGACGGGGGGGAAGGAGTAAAAAAGGGAGACAGGGAAGGAGGAAGGGAGGGAAGGAGAGAGAGAGGGAGAAAGGGAAAGAGAGAAGGAGGGAAGGAAAGGAGAAAGGGAAGGAGAGAGGAAAAGAGGGAGGGAGAGAGGAAAAGAGGGAGGGAGAGAGAGAAGAGAAGAGGGGATACACATAGGAAAATGAGCCAGAGTATCCTTACTTGTAAATGATAAGATGTTATACATAAGGGACCCTAAAGACTCCATCAGAAAACACTTAAATCTGCAAAACACTTTTAGTAAAATGGAAGGATCCAAAATTAACATGCAAAACTCAGCATTCCTTCTTATGTACTAATTAATATATATTATATACCAATGATAAATATACTAAAAAAGAAATCAAGAAACAATTCCATTCACAATTGCCTCAAACAAAACCAAATCATACTGCAAATTTTGAATAAATCTAACCAAAGAAATGCAAGGTATCTACAAGGAAAGGTTTTAGAACACTGGAGAAAGGAACTGAAGAAGATACTAGAAGACTGAACATGGGTTGACAGAATTAATATTGTGAAAATGGCTACATGGTGAATTCTTGGTTCAATTATTTTTTATTTCTCCTTTCCTTTTACTTAAAAAATATTTATGTATGTATGTATTATATATTTAATGTATGAGTGTTCTATCTGCATTTACCTGTTATGCAAGAAGAGGACATCAGATCCTACTATGGATGGTTGTGAGCCACCATGTGATTGTTGGGAATGAACTCAGGACCTCTGGAAGAAGAACCAGTGCTCTTAACCCCTGAGCCATCTCTTCAGCCCTCCTTTGTTCTCTTTTTAAAAAATATTTATTTTAGAGATTATAATATAATCACATTATTTCTCTCTTCCCTTAAAACCATCCCATATACTCCTCCTTGCTGTCTTTCAAATCCATGACTTCATTCTTCATTAACTATTGTCACATGCATATATGTATACATATTCCTAAATATAACCTGCTTGGTCTATATAATGTAACTTGTATGCATGTTTTCAGGGCTGACCATTGATGTGTTCTTCACTGGATAAGACAATTTCTCCTGGTCTCAGCATTCTTAGCTGCCCATAGTTCTTTGTGTAGAGTTGAGGCCTGGTGGTGTTCTCCTCGCCCCCACTCTTTGGAATGTCTATTGTTTTCCTTGTTCAGCTTATGGTTGGGCAGTCATGTTAATGAAAAGTTATGTGTGTGGCTTCTGATCTTAATGAATGATACACAGTCCCACAGAAAACTCCCTGATGCTTTGGCTCTTATCATCTTGATAACTAAGAGTACAGTAGTGGCATATATACCTTAGCAGTAACCAGCAGCTTTTTAATTGAACTTAAGACCCACTCAACAAGAGGGAAACTGGTACTGGTAACCCAGTCAACTACCAGAGCTGGTGAAGCCATGGATCTTGGTGAAGAATCGATAACAACCACTTTACTAAACCTCATAATCCCTAGTTACGTTCTAAGTATTTGTCCTTTCATTCACAGATAACTGTAGTCCTCACCCCTCATCAAAGAAAACTCTGCAACAGACAGAGATTACAGAAAACTATAACCAATCAAATACAGAGTTGTGGAAACCAGTTCCAATGGGTACATCTAGACAGACTTTTAAATTTCACTACTTCCTACGTGGTCCACAGATAAGAAGATCTGATAAAACTCAGTATGAAAATAATTCTAAAATAAAACTAAAAAGTTCTCTGACTGGAAAATCTAATATTTTAATTTCTGTCTGTGAGAAAGGTGGCAAAAAACAGTGTCACTAACTAGAAAAAAAATTAACCTCAAATCCTCAAGTATAAGTGACAATATCAAATATAAAAGACAGTCAAGTTTAAATCTATATCTATGGCTTGGTTAACTCTGGATAAGTTTCTCAGTCTCTACCTCCAGTTCCTCAACTACAAAATGAGAGTAAAAAGTAAGCACGGGCGATGGCAATGGTTCACTGACACATTTCCAAAACTATGAATGCTGTGAGACAGTAAGATGCATTTGAGAATATACTCGATTATTGCAAAAGGATGGTATCAGGGAGTTAAACATGCAACATTTACTAGGTTAGCAGTTCTAACTACTAAAATCCTTGAAATTCTTTCCAAACTGTGCTTTCTACAAGTGACTATAAACCACCAAGACTGATTTTATACGCTACACACACAGAACAGTATAGTAGAAAAGAGCATGAATGCTGGAAAAATCCCAGAAGCAAGTATCATTTTTGTTATTTATAAACTGTATGATCTTGGACAACATTACTTAATATCGCTGCACAACAGATTCTTTATCTATAGCATAAGATCACACATAAAAGGTTATCATAGACACTGAATAAGAAAATCATATGTATCCAGTATAGCACAACATCTTTCTTTTCTTTTTTTGGTTTTTCGAGACAGGGTTTCTCTGTAGCTTTGGAGCCTGTCCTGGAGCTAGTTCTTGTAGACCAGGCTGGTCTCGGACTCATAGAAATTTGCCTGCCTCTGCCTCCTGAGTGCTGGGATTAAAGGTGTACGCTACTACTGCCTGGCAGCACTATACATTTTTTTGGGTTATCATCTCTGTTATTACTTAGAGATGATCAAAGAAAAAGAATTTACCTATAACCAGTAGAACTTGACTTTACAGAAACAGTATATCTTATTAATAAAAACTTATATAGCTCCAAACTCTAATATTTATATGAATTTTATTCTGGCTGACTGCTGAGTCAACATTTTGTACCTTGTCTCAATGTGAGCAAGACAAAAAATAAATAAATTTTGTACTGGATTATTCTGTCACTGATAAAAAGGTAAAAGATTCAAGAGTCTTATCAAAATCCACTTTATGCTAGGCGTGGGGTACACACCTTTAGTCCTAGCACTTAGGAAGCCAAGGCAGCTGGGTTTCTGTAATTGAAGGCCAACTTGGTGTATATAACAAACTCCAGGCAAATTAGAGCTACATACTGAGACACTATCTCAAAGTAAGTAAATAATCCACTCCAGCATCTGATGTCTTTTTAAAAACAAGTCACATCCTACCTGTCATCTGCATTGCGAAGGGATGGAAGTCGAAAGCTTGTGTTTCTGTCAAGCTTTGACTGGCTTTTGGTCCTCTTGATGGAACCTTTCAGGCGCTTGCTGAAGAATCCCTAAAATAAAAAGGCAGAGTGGTGGGAGAGGGAACCTTGCCTTCCACAAGAAACTTGCAAAAGGGGTTTAGAGTGAAAAGGAAGGACTGGGACAGAATCTAGCTTTCAGTTTTAATCAAATAAAATTAAGTAAATAATTAATAAAATTACTTTTTGGTAATGTGATAAAGGACTTTTTCTACTGTGAAGAACTGAGGTAGTTAAACTTGTTGATAGCACCAATCCTAGTTTTTATGTGGATTAAAACTAGGCAGAAAAAAAAACTGTAAGTTTACAAACAGACTTAAAACAGCAATAAACCACACAAATAATTTTCTATGAAAATATTATCAGCAATTTCAATAGAAATGACACCTAATGATTTCCTAAACAAAAGGAAAATAGGTAAATATAACGTCATGTGCAAAGTTCCTGAAGTGGGAACGTGTTTGGTCTTACTGGGGAAACTGAAGGTATTGCTAGAGGAGGATGGGGAAAGAGTTAACTAAGTAGTACAAAGACTATATTGTTAATCTTCAAAGTGTTATTAAAATTTGGTCACATCACTTTGGATACTGTTATTTATAAAATCAAAGGCAGATAAACTATTTTACACGAAATACAGACCATCTATGAAATCACTAAAATACTGAGATGTTAACTCACAGGTTCTGTGACCTCAAGCATCAGATCAAGCCAGTCCAATTCCAGCACGGATGGGAAGGGCCCACATGAGGTACCAACCCTAGCCAGCCAAGAAGATACAGGCAACTGTAGGCTGCTGAAGCAGTGTCAGCTTTCTTCAAAGATAGGATGCCCATGCTCTTGGGACTGCCATATATAGTGCACAAGCTGGCAGTACTATGTGGACTCAATAGAAATTGGAGGGGGAGGGGAGAAGAGTAGATCAGATTGAGAGGGAAATGTGGTGATGAAGTTTTGGGAGAAGTTGGAAGGAAGGGAGTGGGAGGTTTGATTGATGAAAGTACATTATGTATGAGCTATTCAGATGATACATTAAAAAATGAACAAAATACTCGACATTCTTTGGTGATCTCCTGTTACCTCCACCAAGTACAGAAAGCTTGTTATGACCTTAAAACTAATGAACATACAATAAAAATTTTGTTGCGTAAATACAAGAATAAATGAAGATAGTCACTATTGATATGACATACAAAATAATGAGCTTCATTTTGGCACTATTATACATATATGTTATTGTACCTTGTTCTCAATCATTCCCCTTCTTTATTGTCCTCTCTTCTACTCCTTGTCCAACACTGGCTGGCTCATCCCGATCCCCAACCTTGCTTTCCTTTCAATTTAGTCCCTTATCCCCTTCTTCATCTGTTCTGACTGATTTTGTCTTGAAGTCTATTTTATCAGGAAACAGAATAGCTGTACCAACTTGTTTTTGTCTAATGTTGACTGGGTGGACTGCTTCCTATCCTCTGGCTTTCAGTCTTTACCCATAAACACGTTTCTTGGAGACAAAAGTAGTTGAGTCCAGTTTTTTAACCCAGACTGTGTCTCTTTTTAGGTGACTGAGGCTATTTAAATTCTTTAAGATTATTACTGAGAGATGTTCACTAATCCTGTAGCTTTGTTTGTTGATTTCTGGTTGGTGAGTTAATGTTTGCTCTTTATTTCTGCCATTAGTATTTATGGTTTGCTCTTTTTTGATTACCCCTTTAATGAAATTATTTCCATGCTCTAAAGGCTTCACTCCTACCTCTTGCATGTATAACATTCCTTTTTCTCTGCAGTGCTGGTTTGGTGATCATGAATTAACTTAGCTTCTGCTGTACTTAAAATATTTATTCTTTCTTTAATTAAAAATAGTTTTTCTGGGCATAGCAACCTCGGTCAGCAGATAGTACTTCCAGGGACTGAGATATATCCCTCCATACTCTTGGAATCTGGTTCCTGAAGACAAACCTGTTCTTACTTTGGTGTTTCTGCCTTTGTAGGTAAATTGGTGTTTGCCTCTTACATAAATTGAAAATGAAGGAGAAGGTCCACACTGGAATGAAGTTATCACTTCCACCCCAGCAACTTGTTACAGAAGACAGCTGGCAATAAGCCACACACTCCTGAAAAAGAGTTCTCACCTAAGAAATCGACTTGATTTGGTCCTGGCTTGCGGGACCCAAAGCAAACTCCCATGTTTATGATCAATTGACTCTCAACAAAATGCTGCATAATCATTCTTAAGAACAATATTTATAATATTAAAGAACAATATTTAAAATATTAAAACTTGATCCACTCAAGAGAAAAAGGTGAAGCTGGGCAGTGGTGGCGCAAGCCTTTAATCCCAGCACTCAGGAGGCAGAGGCAGGCGGATCTCTGAGTTCGAGACCAGTCTGGTCTACAAGAGCTAGTTCCAGGACAGGTTCCAAAGCCACAGAGAAACCCTATATTGAAAAACCAGACAGACAGACAGACAGAGAGAGAGAGAGAGAGAGAGAGAGAGAGAGAGAGAGAGAGAGAATTACTTAATGACTAAAGAAAAATATATATGATCTATTCAATTATTCTTGCTAGCCAGAAGGGGTAAGATTCAGAGTGTAGCTCAGCAGTTAATAGGTATGAGGTCCTGGGTTCACTTTCAAGTACCAGAAACAACTAACTACACAAAATTTAAAAAGAAAATGAAAGAATGAGTAAAACCCCCAAAATGCCAAGAATGCAATCATTTAAATTTATATTCCAGCTTATTATAAGTGCTTATATTTGAAGAAAAGAAAAAAGTATCTTTAAAAATTCTTTATTGCTTTAAATAGTCATTTGCCTGATCTGCTGTACAGTGCAGTACTGGTGCTATGATGAAGAACTGCCATTAGTTCTCATGCTAAATTCTATATTCCTATGTCTCATCAGAATAGTCCCCCACGGGTTGGAGAGATGGCTCAAAGGTTAAGAGCATTGCCTGCTCTTCCAAAGGTCCTGAGTTCAATTCCCAGCAACCACATGGTGGCTCACAACCATCTGTAATGAGATCTGGTGCCCTCTTCTGGCCTGCAGCATACACACAGACAGAATATTGTATACATAATAAATAAATAAATAAATAAATATTTTTTTTTAAAAAAAAACAAAACTTTAAAAAAAATAGTCCCCCTCATCAGAGGTTCCTAATGCTGTGACCCTTAAATAAAGTTCTTCATGGTGTGGTGACCCCCCAACCACAAAACGGCTTATGATACTTCATAACTGTAATTTTGCTGCTGTTATGAACTGTAAATTCCTAATATGCAGTATGTTTGATATTGTTGTTGGGGTTTTCTGTCCTCCCTGGTTCCTGTAATCATTAAGTCCCAAAGAAATCACACAGGGGTCTACATTAGTTATAAACTGATTGGCCCATTAGCTCAGGCTTCTTATTAACTCTTATAACTTATATTAACCCATTATTCTTGTCTATGTTAGCCATATGGCTCAGTACCTTTTTCAGCAAGGCAGTCACATCTTGCTTCTTCTGTGGCTGGGCAAGGACTGCAGAGGAATGGGCTTCCTTCTTCCCAGAATTCTCCTGTTCTCATTGACACACCTCTACTTCCTGCCTGGCTACTGGCCAATCAGCATTTATTTAAAATATAATTGACAGAATACAGACCATGGTCCCATACCATTTTATATTACCCCCAAAGGAATTGCAACCCACAGACTGGGAACTGTTGCCTCATGTGCTCAGAAATGTAGTCAGCAAGCAAGACTTAAGGAGAGGCTTCTAGTTAGACTGTTAGAGCTGTATGAGATTCTGGCCAACGACCTGACCAAATATTAATATACTTCTAATAAAAATACAGTCATGCAGTTGACTGGAAAATGTCCTAATGGAATTTACTCATCTTGCCCTTGAATTTTACCATTTATTGGCATTTATTTCACCATACTCCATATTGTAATATTTATTTTATAAAATTTACTTTGCTTATTTTTTGTATAGAATTTTATTAGGTGCTAAAAGAAAAATAAAGTTAAAACAAATGCAAATTTTATCTTAAAGAAGCCTGTAATTTAATACAGGATTTAAACACTATATATAAATATACACATAGCCTTATTAGAAGACTTGAAATGCCTAGGGAAAGAATCTCTGGGCATAGGTATCTATCATTAGAAACCTCTAAAACTGAACAAGTAGAACAAAGACTGACAAATCAAAATAGAATATCCAAGAACTGTAAAACAAGTACATAAGAAGTAACATGCATAATGGGAATACTAAGATGGGGGAAAAGATCAAAAAACAAAATCCAGAGAAAGCTATGAAACAATAATGGCTTAAATTTTCTCAAGTTAATCAGACACCAAAACAAGATCCGCAGAGAACTTCAGGCAGGAGAAATGCCGCAAACAAACTAAAAACATCAAAATTACACTTTGGCAAAGATGTTTGGTATCTTTTTTGTTTTTGTTTTGCTTTTGAGACAGGGTTTCTCTGTAGATCAGCCTGTCTTGAAACTTTCTCTGTAGACCAGGGCTGCCTGCTTCTGTCTCCTGAGTACTGGGATTAAAGGTGTACACCATCATTGTTTGGCATTTAGGCATATTTTTAAAAGATTTATTTTATTTGTATTAGTGTTTCATCTGCAAGTATGTATGTATACCACATACATGTCATGGTAGTTCAGAAAAGGGTTCTGGATCCCCTGGAACTGGAGTCACAGATAGTTGTGAACCACAGTCATGGGTGCTAAGAGCCAAACCTGGTCTTCTGTAGTGACAATGAGTTCTCCTAAACCCTGAGCCATCTCCCCAGTCCCAAGTTAGGTATATTTAAACCAAAGAAACTCAAAGTTAATGACTAAATGCTGAAAGAACCCAGAGGATGGCAGAAGGAAATTCCCTGAGTACAGGGAAATGATGATAAAAATGGCTTCATGCTCAAAATATATTACAAGCTTTCATGAAAACGGTCTTATGCAGCCCAGTATAGCAAAAAACTTTAAAAATCTTAAAAAAGAAAAAGAATTACATGTTTTCAGAAACCATAGGAACACAACACATGG